CATCCAGCAATCTCACTTCTGGGTATCTATCCGAAGGACAGGAGAATACTTAGTCAGAATAGTGCTTGCACAACTATATTTATTGTGGCATCATTCACAATTGCTAAGACATGGAACCAACCCAAATGTCCACAAACAGATGAGTGGATTGAAAAAGTGTGGCACATATACTCCATAGAATACTATCCAGCCATAAAAAAAAAACAAGACCCTGGCATTTGATAGAAAGTGGACTAACATGATATGTTTATTGCTGAGTAAAGGAAGTCAGGCTACGATATGGAGACATTGTATGTGTCCATTTAACATCTACTGACTGTCTACACTCTATGGTAGAGATGGAAAGACTAAAGGACATAAAAGCATTGAAAATTGTTATGGACCCTGGGGCCAAAGTGGAAAGAGAGTGGGAGAGGGGAAGAGTGCAGGAAGGGAAATTTGGGAAAAAATAGAGAAGTAAGACATTTGTGTGACACAGATATGATTGGTTGCCTGTTGATGATGTCATGTGTATTCTCAACTCTCCTGGTATGTAGGGTATATCATGTTGGGTAAAATCTCTTTACAATCTAAATGATGTATAGCGATTGAATGCATAAATAACAACATAATAATAATAAAACCTTAAAAAAATAATTAATTTACTGTGGTAGCCTCTTCCACCACCATCAAACTATGTATTTTTTTTATTATACTCAAAGTATAATTTTATATTGTCAAATGAACAGATGCTAGTCATACATACCATTCAGTGAATTTTGACTGGTGCATTTTGACAGGTGCATAACCAGGCACCTGTGCAGATAGAGTGCATTTCATAATGCTAGAGTATAACACTCTTTTTCACTCCTCCTGCAACAATTGAAGAATAGCCAGGAAAATCCAAACTTAATTCCTCCTATCCTCTCAGTCCACACAGAACTGTGACCGAGCACGTGGGAGTTTTCCCCATATCCAAACAAGCTTTCAGGTCTGTGACACCAGTTGGGTATCTTCTCTTTCATTTCAGTCCTAACATCTGTTTGGATGTTGCTTCAGATCCCACCGTTTGAGGGGTCATTCTCCAAGATTGACCATCCCCCCCACCCATGCTGACCATGCGGTGTGAGGATTAAGGAAGCTTAACCCACATGGTTGACCACAGAGTTTGAATCCTGGCTCCAGTGGCTTAAGAATTGTCTGGACATGTATGTGTGTCTGCCCCACATTCTGACAGGGTGTAGAAATGAAGGAGAAAGGGTTGTGTTTTTTTCCAAGCTCCATTGGGGTGTCTTTTGCCCTTTCGCTGTTTTCTCTCACCTCTTGAATGGTCAGTATATTCAACAAATACTTACTGAGCCCTTACCGTGGCCAAAAATTATAAGTGGCTTAAGAATTGTCTGGACATGTATGTGTGTCTGCCCCACATTCTGACAGGGTGTAGAAATGAAGGAGAAAGGGTTGTGTTTTTTTCCAAGCTCCATTGGGGTGTCTTTTGCCCTTTCGCTGTTTTCTCTCACCTCTTGAATGGTCAGTATATTCAACAAATACTTACTGAGCCCTTACCGTGGCCAAAAATTATACTGGATAATTGTGGAGAAAAGGAGATTGCTCAGTTATTGAATAACTGAGCACAATCTAGTGAATCATTATAGTATGGCCTCATTATTTTGTTTGAAGTGTATTATTCCTAAATATATTTTATATAGTTTATATCATAATGTAATTATGCAACACAACCCACTATCAAAGATAAGTAATTTTTAGCTATCTGCTATTTAAAAACATCCATATTTGTTTGCATCCCATTAATGCAAATAATGAGAAAAACAATATATTAATCTGTAATAAGCTTGATTTATTGTGTAGTGACTAATATACTAGAGTTATATTAAATTTTTAACTCTGCCTCATCAAATACATATTAGAAAATAATCTTTAAAATAAGTACTTAACTATGTTCTCTAACTGATTAGCATATGCACCCTGTAAAAGTCTTCTTCCCCCTTCATCAGATGGCAGGTGAAGTTCCCAGATGTTTTTTTTAATCTATATTTCTGATTTATCGGCTCCATGTCATATTTCCCACAATCCCCTCTTTGGGTTGAGTCTGAACAGCTTATAGAATTGAGGATAATGCTTTTGTGTTCTGGTTTACTATAAAGGATATCACCCAAGATACAGGAAACTGAAGATGAGAGAAAGTGTCAACCTGCAAAGGATGGCTGTGGCAGAGTAAGTAAAGCAGAATTTATTTGATCCAGGGTTATGACACTCATCTAGGCACCACAAAACTCAAGTTGTCCCTTGGGAACCAGCAGTTAGTGTAATGGCTATGTCGCTGGATTCCCACGTAGTCGACCGCGGTTCGTGTCCCAGACCCGGTGACTTAAAACTCACACCAGGCGCGTGTGCGTGCGTGCCCAAGATCCTGAGAGGAGAATGGAGGAGAAGGGATTGCAGCGTGACCATCCCCCCCTGGGGGTGATTTCTCGTTTTCTGTCTGTCTGTCTCTGTCTGTCTGACGAGCGCACGTGCCCTATAGCAAAAACCTCTCAAAAAAAAAAATCATGAAAAATGATTAAAGAAGAAAAAAAAGTTGTCCCCAGTAATGTGAATCAGTCTGTATAAGTCAAGAGAATCTCCCCATCTCCAAATCCTTATTTGAATTATACTCACAGTCCCTACTTCCACGTAAGGTGACATGTTTGCAGTTTCTGAGGATTAAGAGGAGGTCAGCTTTGGGGAGAAGATTGTTCTGTTATCAACAACAGCTAATGTGCTCGATAGACAGATCAAGATCTGGCCCTATAAGGATTTTATTTACAAATATAGAGGCAAATGCCCCACAAAGTTGCTAAAGGAATTGGTAGGCATAGCCTCATGAAAATGAACCAAGATGGGGTCAGCACAGCTAAGGGACTGTTACTTTTGTTATTAATCTTGTGCTACTTTATATGCATCTAGTGCTGTTATAATGAATAGAATGCCACTGTTGGTCTCAGGTCACATGTAACAAGTCAAATGTAGGTGGAACTTCAGAACTTGTACATCATGGGACCAACAGTCAACGTAATGGCTATGTCACTGGACTCCCATGTAGTCGACCGGGGTTCGAGTCCCAGACCCGGTGGCTTAAAACTCATGCTGGGCGCATGTGTGTGCGTGCCCAAGATCCCAAGAGAAGAATGGAAGAGAAGGGATTGCGGCATGGCCATCCCCTCTGGGAGGTGATTTCTCACTTTCTGTCTCTCTGTCTCTCTCTGTCTGGTGAGCATATGTGCCCTATAGCAAAAACCTGTCAAAAATCAAAAAAAAAAGAACTTGTACATCATGACTATGTACACTGTGTACATTGAATTATATACTTGAAATTTACCAAGAAGGCATATCTTATGTCTTCTCACCACACACAGAAGGCTACGTGAGGATGGAGATGTGTTAATTAGCTTGTATTTGGCCATCATTTCACAGTTGATACCTGTATCAAATCATCGGGTTGTGCGTCTTAAATATGTTTTTATTTGTCAATTCTACTTCAGTAAAGCTGAAAAAAAAGTATGTTAAAAATATTTAAAAGGTGAAGTTCTGAACTCACAATGTTTTTTTAGCATATTTATCCTTATGTCTTCAGGATATTGGATGTACAACCAGGTGGGGACTGCCTTACTCATCCTGAAGTATTGGGCACCAGGACACCTCCTCCAGAGAGCCTGCCTTAACCTCTCATCCACCTCAGCTGAGAGCAGGGACTAGTTCAGTGAAGAGTGACCACATTTGTGAGCATTTTTTGCTCTAATTTTCCCAGGTCCCATGACAGCTCATCACTAGACTCAGTGACAACACCTTCTTTCTCCTTCCTCCTGGCCTAGCAGTGGGACCATCTTCCTGGATGCTCACCCTAAGCCCTTCACCGTCCCTTGTCCAAGCCCCTATCCCTGCCCACAGCTAGGAAACTGACTTCATCCAGGTGTGTTCTTTCACAGTATTTGGGATGAAGGGTTCTTGTTGGAACCTGCATAAAACATTAGAAAATGCTCTTTCATGTAACTATAATTTAGGGATCTTTTTTTCTGTCTGTACTAACTGTGTGTGCAAGTATTTTCCCCTTATTTATATATATAATATTTTGTCTCCTTTTTATGAAAGAGAGAAAGGCAGGCATTTTGTCAAAGTCCTGCTGTATCTTTATTTTTCTCCTCAGCCTCCCCATTAGCCAGGATCACATGCTCAGGCTGGCCCAAGACTTGCATTGGATTCCTATGAAGCCTCCAGCCTCTCAGACAGTGGTGTTCTCTGTGTGCCACCAAAGCCTGGCTTGTATAATTATTTTTTACAGAATTGTATCTCAGCAACTTGACATTTTCCTCAGGTACCGATTTAACAACTAACAGCACCCTGTATTTATTGTACAATGTGATTACGTATGTAATTGTGTCTGTGTGTGTGTGAATAAGTGTAGAGAGTGACTGAATCTGAGCTGAACAATGGTTAACTTTAAAAACAATCAGAGCACAGACTCACTCGCTTGGGCTGATGCTGCAAAGCTGGCTGAGGTTAAAGGAAACTATGTTTTAGCTACAGAAGGCCAGGTAGGGCTTATTTAGCACTATGAGATGCCAGATGCTCCACAGCTACAGTCAATAATAGTAGACACCTGGCTTTACCTTCCTCCTCTCCCTCCTCCCTTGCTCTATAAAAGAATAAACCTGGGAATGGCTCGGGGTCACAACAATCTCCATCAGAGACATTCAAATGGTCCAATCCCCACTTTCTTATGTGTCTGTGTCTTTGTTTTTTCTCAAACTACCTCCCACTTCTACTTGGAGTTCTACATCCCTGTCCAATCCCCACTTTCTTTACTTATGTGTCTGTGTCTTTGTTTCTTCTCAAACCACCTCCCACTTCTACTTGGAGTTCTACATCCCTTTGCCCCACAGGCCAGGACAGATGTGCAGTTGTCTTTCCAACGGAATGTTTTCCTATCCTTTGGGTAAATACACAGGAATGGGATTACTGGGTTGTGTGGTAGTTTGAAATTAGTAACTCCCTTAATATGTATAATAAGAAATATTATTACTGGGGCCAGCAGGTGATATAGTGGTTAGGGTACTGGACTCACACATGGCTGACCACAATTTGAGTCCCAGACTGGATGGCTTGCTTTCTCACTTTCCCTCTCTTTCTCTCTCTCTCTCTCTCTGGTCCAATTAAAAAAATAAATTTTAAAAATAATTCTAAAATACCAGAAACACTATTAATATATCTGCTTATAGCTGGAAAAAGGGAGGCACAGAGAGGCTGTGTCACTTGACCAAGGTCACACTGCACAACAGAACCAGGATTCTATACCAGTAGCTATGCATTTAACACGCTTGTGCCTTTGGACCGTGGTAAAATTTCTCCAGAACCTGTCATATGATGTGATACAGGCCATAAATGCCAGAAGTATTCCAAAATGGAAGTGTTTAGCTTGGACTAGAGTAGTCAAGAGTGGGAGCCATTGCTATGGATAATAAAGATGGAGAGATGTCAGGAAGGTGGAATTATAAAAACAAATGCCACTTTAGGCACAGAATCAGTGTGCGGGAAAGAGCTGAGGGAGATAACTAATCACATTAAGCTAATCACTAGCAGCTGCCAGGGGAGATTACATGAAAAGTGGTACGACCAATACCACTATATTGTTCTTAGTTCTTTACTTTGTCAGGTTCTGGACAGAGCCATGAGTGTCCTGGCTCCTCTCTCTTCCCAGTCACCAATAAAAATAGTACAGATTAGGACAGCAGATAGCATAGTGGTTAAGGCACTGGATTCCCACATAGCTAACAACTATTGGAGTCCTAGACCTACTAGTTTGAAAATCACTCTTCATGCCTGTGGATGCATGCCCAAAATCCTGAGAAGAGAAGGGATTTTGGCATGGTCATTAGTCTCTTGGGGGGAAATGGTTTGTCACTTTCCTTCTCTCTGTCCTCTCCAGTGAGCACATCCTCTGGAAAAATCAATCAATCAATCAATCAAAGAATAAAAGTACAAATCTATGGCATATATATACCATAGATCAGAGGAAAATTAATCACACATGTATATTGATTTAAAAAAAAAAGAAAAAGAATGGGCCCTAGCAAGTCTTATGGTTGATAAGGCACTGGAATCCCATATCATTGACCACAATTCAAGCCTCAGACCTGGCGGTTTGCTTTCTCATTTTCTCTCTGGTCAAACCGAAGAATAATATTAATAAATCAAATTAAATAAGGTCAAACTGAAGAATAATATTAATAAATCAAATTAAATAAATTTTTTGTATAAAAAGAAAATAAATTCTCATTTCAAAAACTTAGAGAAAGGACAATGAACCAATGACAATATCAAATAGAACTGCATATATATTTCTCCTTAAATCAGCAGTCCACCAGCTGGCAATTTATTCTGTAGAAATGTGATTGAGGAACACAAAAATGTATATGCACAAAAATTCAGTACAGGGCTATTTATAATTTAAAAGTACCACATACGTATTTTAATAAGCTATGGCATACAAAAACAATGGAATACTATGCAGCTATAAAAGTAGGCGGATGATCTTTGTGGACTAAAATAGAGTGATTTTAGGGACATATGAAGTGAAAAAGCAAAGTTCAGAAGAGCACATGTGGTATGTCACATGTTGAGTGAGAAAAATAGGAAATAAACAATGGAGTACTATGCAGCTATAAAAAATAGGCAGATGATCTTTGTGGACTAAAATAGAGTGATTTTAGGGACATATGAAGTGAAAAAGCAAAGTTCAGAAGAGCACATGTGGTATGTCACATGTTGAGTGAGAAAAATAGGAAATAAGAAATCAAGCATATATCTTCTATCATCACAAAAAGAAACAAAAGGATAAAGCAACAAATAATGAAGTTAATTATTATTATTTTTTTGGAGAGTTTTTTTTTTTTTTTTTTGCTATAGGGCACGTGCGCTCGCCAGACAGACAGAGAGAGACATAGAGACAGAAAGCGAGAAATCACCCCCCAGGGGGGATGGTCACGCCGCAATCCCTTCTCCTCCATTTTCCTCTCGGGATCTTGGGCACGCACGCACACGCGCCCGGCGTGAGTGCTAAGCCACCGGGTCCGGAACGTGAACCGCGGTCGACTATGTGGGACTCCAGCGACATAGCCATTACGCTAACTGCTGGTTCCCATGAAGTTAATTATTTACAAGGGATCAGGTGAAATGGGAAGGACACCATAAGGAATGATGCTTCTCCAGATGTGTATAGTTTTATGTAGTTTGTTTATATACATTGAAGGTATATAAATATCCTACATATTATAAAACTAAAATTTAATCAACAGAAATAGAAATGGAGAAAGTTTAAGCTGAAAGCAAATTATAACAAACTTAATTTTAACTAAAATGAAGACCATGTAAAACTAAAGGGGAGCAATGGAAAATGAATAAATGTACATCCACAGTTTTATTCAGGGTAGGGTGGGGTGGGTAATAGTTGTTTTTAAATTATTATTATTTATTTTATACATTGAATCAATATATATCACTTAGCTTATAAAGTGAATTTACCCAAAATAAATACATTTCACTCCAGTACAGTTCAGGATACTGTACATATTATCAACAAATAATCCATTTCAGCGTTTCATAAATGTCTTGCCTCTCTACTTTTCTCCTTAATTTATTTCCTTATACTCTCACCCTTATCCTACCCTGTTCCCACATTGTCTTCAGTAACCTTAATTATTTTCCATGCTTCTATATTCTCTAGTCTTTCAGTATATGTTAAGTGGAGACATATGTGTCTCTTTCATAGCCTGGGTTACTTTACTCAGCAGTGAATCTTCCATATTCATCCACGTTATATGTACAAGTAGTATTCCATAGACTACATATGCCACAATTTCAATGCATTAATCTAGTCATGGATATTTGGATTCATTCAATATCTTGGCAATCGTAACTAATACTGCAATAATCGTAGATGTGCATTCACTTTTCTGACTGGAGTGTTCTGTTCTTTGGGTAGATACCCAGAAGTGGAATTGCTGAATCATATATTAGTTCTATATGTAGATCGTTGAAGAACATCTGCATTATTCTCGACAATGACTCAACAAAATTTATATTCCCACTATTGTTTTCAAGAGTAACTGAACAAATTTATATTCCCACCAACAGTGTAGGAGAGTTTCCCTTCCACCACAACCCTGCCAGTACGTAACATTTTTTATTTTGTGATCTTCGCCATTCTGACTGGGGTTATGTGGTATCTCATTGTGTTTTTGATCTGCATCTCCCTTACAATGAGGGATGTTGAGCATTTTTTCCTAAGCTTTTTGGCAGTTCATGTTTTCCTTAAAGAGTTGTTATTTCAGCTCATTTTCCAGTCTTTTAAATGGGATCATCATTTGTATTTGGGTAATCTACTTAATTAAGTTCCTTGTGTATTCTAGTAATCAGTCCATTATCTGAGGCAGAGTTTACAAAAAAATATTCTCCCATTTGGAGGGTTGTTGATTCACACTGTTTACTGTGTCTTTTGCTGTAAAGAAACTTCTTTTTTAAAAGAATTACTTATTTTATTGTATTTGTTGTTGTTGTTGTTATTATTTTGACCAGAGAGAGACAGGAGAGAGAAAGAAAGAGAAAGTGAGAAACCAAGCCACCAGTTCTGGGATTCAAACCATGTTTGACTATGTGGGAGTCCAACACCTTAACCAATGCATCACCTGCCGGCCCCAGCAGAAACTTCTTTATCTGATGTAATCCCACTTGACTATTTTTGGGATTATTGCCTGTGCTTTCAGGTCTTACTTAAAAAGTCTTTTCCTACTCTGATGTCTCCCAGAGTTTCCCGAATGTTTTCCATGAGTAGTTTTATAGTTTGAGGTCTAAGGTTTAGATCTTTGATTT